ACCAATTCTAAGGGATCAACCTGCCTCTGGGAGCCTTCAACCCTTACCCCTTTTAGCTATCACTCCCAATGGCTCATTATCAGAATCTGAACTGTGAGAAGGGAAGGATTTCACCCAAAATCACGCAAGCCGACCACTGCCTCAACCCTTTGGTTAAGATATTGGAGGGCATTGCCTCATGGCCCACTTTTTGACAGAGTACTTCCTTGCCTCTTGCTCCAGAGGGCAGAATGCGTCAAAGCGCTCTGTGCTCCAGACTCTACATCCATCAAGAGCAGGGGTCAGCAATCTAAGGCCTATGGGCCACAAGCGGCCCATGGGGGTTGTTTAAAACCGGCCCTTTGACAACTGTCACCCGCTCGGTCAGCTCCCATGTGCCACGCTAAACCAGTGTGCAGAAAAGCGGGGACCGCCTTCCGTGACACTGGCAGGCATCCCATTGGCTGCAGAAAGCTCCTGCAGCCAATGGGAAGCTGCGCATGCCTCCTCCGCACTGGAAGGAGTGCCGGAAATAGCGTTTGCGCATTTGTGCACGCGCCCCCAATCCGGCCCACCACAGCGTCTGAACCAGCCCAAGCCATAAAAATTTTGCCGACCCCTGATCAGGAGCATCCAGGTTAACAGTTCCCTGTGTGGGAATGAGGAGCTGTCATCCTTCTGGAAGTCTTGACTGGGACAGAGACAGCTAAACACTGGAAATCAAGCGGCAGCAGGGAAGAGACTGTGGTACAATTGAAGCAATTACAGTATGCAGAAGCCCAAGCATCTCCTTTGCCACACCCAGAACACTATCTGCATAGTCATGCATCAAATGCATGCCTCGCCCCAATGGCCCCAATGAGATCTCCCCTCCCTGCCACAGATGTCTCATGCTAAGATCCCACACCCCTTGCTAAACACACACACACATCTTGGAAAACTCACCAACCACCACATTAAATTTACAAGGATAATGTGGTGAATCTGTGGAGTGGGTGTTTTTGTGTTTTAAAGATTTGTTATATTAATGACTCTGGAATTTTTTTAAATACAAGTTGAAAAAATAAAATATAAAACATACAAGGAGAGGCTATGCACTGCTTGAAATTGGGCTGATCAGCCATAGGAGGGCAGTGCACCAATTTCTGGCACCCAGTGTGAGTTTTGTTTCAGCTTCTCTCAGCTCCATTCCATTTTAGGCAATGGGCAATAAGCTGTTTGCACCATTTTGAATACACAAATTACTAATTGCCACCACAACTTCCCTTGCTGGGAGAAGCTCTGACCCAGCTCTATTATTCTGCAAGTCTAGAGAAGGCAGGAGCTTTCAGAAGCCTCTCTCCAGAGTTCTGTTCATCTCACCCAACCGCCATGTCTACCAGGCACTTCAAGATAATGCACACAGGGTTCAAATGCACACACTCACACACCTCCATCAAGGGTAAGCTAAAAGTGAGCTGGTGGGGACATTACAGCCAAGCAATGCTATTCAGCACATTGGGCAAAGGCCACCATATCGTTTTTTTAAAGGAAAAATATTTAGCTACATTTTAAGGGAAAACCTCTTTGCATGATTTGCCACAAATTGAAGGCTTACTGAGGATGAGGAAATACAAACAACAAACACAGATGGAAGAAAAAGCTGAAATCCAGCAGATTTTTCCCCCACTTCCATTCAGATACAATAAATAATTTTGCTCCTTTCCGATTTCTCAAGGAACTGAAATTGAAGAGGCCTTTCAAACTGCTTTTCCTAATATGGAAAACTGGCTTCCCAATTGCTTCCTTCTCTGGTATAGAGTGGCAGGTGGTTAGTCCATGCTGTTTGGAGAAGGGAAGAAATCACACCTCCTGGCACATTGCAGAACGTGTGGGCCGCCATGTTGGGAGGATCTGAGCCACAGAATGTGAGAGACGCCTCAGCTCTTCCTCTCTCACAGAGCTCCTCCGCTGCTGGGAATGAGACAGGGGGGCTCAGGCAGCCCCTCCAATGCCAGCCTAGCAGGGGGAAGATAATGACAAGAGAAGGGTGTGGAGGGTGCTTACGAAACAAATATGAAATTCTGCCCACTCTCACCGGTGCAGTTAACACCCGAGGGGGGAGAGATGGCTACGTGTCACTAAATTCCATCACCAAGCCTGGAGCCAAGTTGTGCCCAGCTTGCTCTCAAGAGCGCCAAAAGCTCCAGCCGAGATAGATAATGGGGGCAGCACCCCCTAGATTTTAAAGGTATGCTGCTTGACAGCCAACTTGGGGTTTGGAGGACCCCAGGCAATGGGTCATCAAGGCTTAGCAGTCATGCAGGGGTGGGCAACTTCCCCTGCCCCCCATCCGTTAGCTTCCAATGCCGCTGCTATTTAGCAGAACCTGGAACATGTCAAACCAGCCCTTTCTCTACAGCTTAATGAGGATCCCATGTTTAATTTCTAAGACAAACAAAGCACAATGAGGGGGAGGCACAAGGGAGGGAACAGAAGTGGTGCAAATGGGAACTAAATAGCTGCCTGATTTTAATATGAGAAAAGCTCCACATAAATAGGATGCAGCAGGCAGAGGTGGGGTGGAAACAGAATTGCAAGCATCGCCCACCACCACCCTGCGCCAAGCCATGGATACCCAGCCATGACACTGGACATGTCTGCAAAGCAAGCAGAGTTGCTCACATCCCTCTCCTCTGCTCCCAAGTCGTAAAAGCAGTGACACTGAGCTCTCTGCCCAGTGAGATACCCACATACACTTGTTAGCCGCCTGTATATAAATCTGGGAAATGGGCTCCAACCCATTGACGGTTTTTTCCTCAAACTTTAGTGTTCCCTTGGATCAAATGTTTAGTTGCTTTTTTGTTATAACAGAGCCCTTTTCTACAACAGAAGCCCATTAAACTGTTGTGCTTAGATGCCCAAATATATTAAGTATCCAAAAGGCTTTTCATGCATTAAGCAATATCATTTCTCACCCTAATATAATGTAACCTATTGTATTGTTATTCACTTTCTGGAACTGCTCCATTTTAACACTTTCTAACAAAGAAGCAGTTAGGGGTCCATTAAAAAAAAAATCATGGCTTCCAAAAAGGGGATGAGGCTGTGTGAGATTCTGTTGAGGAAGACTCAATTTGGTCTTCTCAAAGACTGAACAGCTGCTACCACCAAAGACACTTTCCCAAACCACTGGGAATGAAACTAATCAATCAATCTAGTACAAACAATTATTATTTTGCCTGCGAAAAAAATCAAAGGGAATATAGCACACATTGTGTGTGTTTTCCCCCCTCTTCCTTTTGCACAGTCAAAATGCAAATGCAGGCAAATCAGATGCTGGCATGGATGACAGAGACAAGCAGAACCTCAACACAGAGAGATCTGGGGAGATGCTCCCCCCAAAAACAGACTAGCCCTAGCTTTAATTAAAAAGTTACTTTATGATTAATAACTGGTTTTCACATAACTATTCTGCCCCAAACAAACAAAACATTTAAAATGTGCTAAAATAAACAAATAGGTATTCATTCTACAGCAACCACCCAATTTCTGTATGTTGCTCTCTTAACAGTCTGTCTGATTGGAGCCAAAAGAAGGAGAGACACTTTGCTTTGCTCACAAGGCATGACAGGATAAAATCTCACAGTGGAACCTGTGAAAGGGAAGGCAGGCAGGCAGGCAGGCACCCCCCAAATTGCAGCGCTTGCATGATTGTTCTTGTGGATTGTGCACCAAACAGATGGCAGAAGCTGCAAATTGCCCATCCTTTTATGCAACACAGATCGATTACACTAAACCGGGTTGTAATTTCATCCGATGCAACATCCAATTGCCTTCTGGTTACAATGGCTTCATTAGTCGGGGCCCAATTTCTGTACAGAAGACCCCCAAACCCCAGCTTCCAGTTCCAAACAGAACCTTGCCTCTTAAAGAATTGCATTGCCCTGACAACTGAATTGGCTCATATCCCCCCTTTTCCAAATCTGATTCCTTTCCAACTGCTGGGCTAGATTTATTAAAGCACTCCTAGAGGGGAGGCTGTTATTTTAAAGGCATATCAGGGTTTGAACTATCTTATGGGATTAGAATATGGCTCAACGTTGACTTTGACAACTGGGGACAGAAGAACAAAGCTCTAAAAGTATCGCTGGCAGCTTTAAGCCTTGGAATTCTTGCTCGAACACACAGGGAGATGCTGCCTTGGTATCTATTCAACATTCACGTAATTAAATACATTTCTGCAGAGATGGGCTGAGGAGAGGCGGGGGTGCGTTATTTTTAATTTCCCTGATGAATGAATTTCAGAGGCTACAAAGAGTTAATGGCAATAATTGCCAGCTCAGGGATCCAGACTTGCTCTCTGCCTGCCCAGCCTGTGCCAGGCTCCCGGGCACAGCCCCTGCTAACCCAAAATTCACATTCACCAGAACAGAAACCCAAAAGCAGACAACACCAACATTCCCCAGGGTTGATGCTTCTTCTGGGAGAGCCTGGCAGAAGGGGTGCCCTACACACACACACACACACACACACACACACATTTGGGGGAATGTGGGGGGGGGACACACACAAAGCAAAGCAAAATATAGGCCATCCCCACCTCAAGATGGGGGGGACACAGCTAGCAGCCCTGACAAATCTGAGAACTCCCCGTGCAAAAACAAAAAAACCCTAGACTTCTGGATCACATTAGGATCGTTTTCCACAACGCCCACCAACCACCTTTGGGGGAAGAGGACCTACACACTGGTCAAAAGCAGACCAAAGTGCAAGTCTGAACTAGCCCAGGCACCGGCGACGGGAAGGGGGGGGGCGCCAGTGTAGGGTGCCCCCTCCGTCGCTGGCAGGTCAGGAAGCACCCTCTTCCCCGAAGCCGAAGGACGCTTCCACCGCGAAAGAGTCAGAAAGTGCGAGGGGCTGACCGGGAGGAAGAGCTCCCTGGAGCCGAGCGCAAGTGGCGTTGGGGAGCCGCCGGGCATTCCGGAGCGGCTCGGCTAGAAAAGTTCCCGACCCGACGGGGCGCCGCCGCCCTCGCCTACCTGGGCTGGTCCAGGAGTTGAGCAGCAGGAGGCAAGAAGTGACCAGCCACATGCCATCCAGGGGGGCCGGTGCCGCGGGCGGGCGGGCGCCCTGCCTCTGCCGCTGCCCGTGTCCCTGGCCGGCCCTCGCCAGCTTCCCCCGTCGTCGGATGCTCCGCGCTCGCCTGCCCTCCTGCTCGCTCGCCTGCCCGCCTAGCGCTGCGCCCAGCTGCTGCTACTGTCAGCCGGCGAGCCAGCGAGGAGCGAGCGCGCAGGAAGGGAGGAGCGGGGCGGGCTCCCACATCCCCGCCCACACAGGCCGCGGGGGGAGGCGAGAGGGAAGGGGACGCCTCCCTCGCTCTCCTCCAGCGCGAACCTCCGGCCAGGCAGGGGCAGGTGCGCTCGCGGGCAGGTGCCTTCCCGGGGCTGGGCGCGCGCTGCCTGCCCGCCCGCTCTCCCGCGCCCTTCCGGAGACCACCCCGAGGAATGCCCGGAGGAGGGCAGCCCGAGCCGAGGCGCACCCAACAGTCCTTCTCACCTGGACGCTCCTAAGCCACCAAGTCGGCGCTACCACGCCAAGCAGTTTCCGCTTCCAGCGGGCAGTGGCAAGAGGTCATCCCGGCGCCCAGCCTCTGTCCGGACTGGCTCAAAGGCTCTTATCCTGTGGACAGGCTGACCTAGGTCTTGGAATTGCTCCGAGCGAATATGCACGGGGAAAGGGGTTTGCATCGCTGGCAAAGAGCTGCCTACTGGGTGCACCTCAGCTCTCTTCCCTTTGCTCTAGGAGAGGGGCACTGGAAGGCACTTCCCTGCCCCACAGGGGCAATTCAGTTACAGCCAAGGATTCCCCCAGCAACTCTGCAGCTCCTGCAGTGCTCACAAGCCCACAGCGCTGAGGAGCTACCTCCAATTCATGAGGCAGACCTCCCTGTGCCAAACCTGAGCTAGATCAGAGCCTGGATGGTTGTGAGAGACATCTGTTGCAATGCTGTGTACATTCTAACACAGGGGTGGGCTGAAGGTAGATCTCCTAGATCCAAGGGGTTTCTGACTACCAACCGGTTAACAAAAGCAACAACAAAAAGGCTTTATAAAATACAATAATAATGTTGCTGAAACAAAGAAAGCTTGGGGGAGAACCAGTATACTAGTAAGAGTGTGGGTGTATGTGTGTATACACTAGTATACTGGTTCTCCCCCAAGCTTTCTTTGTTTCAGCGCACACACACACACACACACACATATCAAGTCTGAAGTCTGCCTTACCCCTGTTCTTAAATATAAGAATTCTGGAATCACAGAATTGAAAGTGCCCTTGGAGGCCACTACTTCTTCAACTGGTGGGTCAGGAGCCACTACTAGGATGTTGCCTGATCTAAGGTGGGTCACAACCATAGCTGTCAACTTTCAGATTTGAAAATAAGGGATCAGCAGCCTCACCTGTCCCGGGGACAGTCTACCTGATAGCAGCGGGAAGCAGCGGGAAACGGCGCTGGAATAAGGGAATTTCCCGCAAAAAAAGGGAAGGTTGACAGCTATGGTCACAACAGCCCCACTATCGCCACTATTGCATGCTTTTACAAAAACTAAATAAATGGGTCCCCATGTTTGAAGTGGCCCCCATTGTGTGTGCTGTTGTACATGCACAGTTGCAGCTTAACATCCTTAAAACGTATCCTGGCACCAACCACAGAAGCAGAACCTCTCATCCAAGAGCTAACAGTGCAATCCCAACCCCCAGATATTCCAGTTGGGAGAGGTCAGGATGTAGCATATATTCCCATCTCTTGGTGAGTTGGGCATGAGCCAGCATAAATGGCTTAACCCACCATATCTGCTTACTGGTTGCTGTTGTTCTGATGTAGAGGGCAAAAAAGGAGATATGTCAAGAGGGCAATGGAGGGAATGGACATGTAGAGGGCAGGGAGAGGAAGTTGCCCTGCATCCTAACTCTCTTCATTCACTTGTCTTACCCACAGAACCAGGGTTGTGTACATATTCCTGTTCACTCTGCATCTGGTGTGCTCCAACCACTGCTTTTGGAAGTGGTGTCCACACATTAGACATGGTCCCTGTCCATCCTGCATTTTTCCTGTAGTTTTCTATGACATGCGGCACTTTGAAGTGCTTTTCCCAAAACCAGCTTCGACCCAAATTGGGGGAAAATAACCTAGCTGCATTTTAAGCTGGTAATGTGTACACAGTCTTGGTGTACACCACCTGAAAACGCAAATGTATCTTAAATTCACCCTATAGGAGAGGCAAAAAATAAAGATTTATACTGTCTACATCCCACCCTCTGGCCAGGAACAGCTAGAATATAGCTTATCTTACACTGGAGATGTGTTGGTGCATCGAGAATTGCTCTGCCATTAAGTACACTCTTCACAGCACCATGATGGCCACGCATCCTTTCCTAACCAATCATCACAATTTTTCTAATAGTGTCTTGCCACTCTAAATCGACTTAACCTTTGGATGGGCAGTCTCTTGTCTCCCTGCCCACCAACCCCTTGAGACACATCCAGACTTCATGCCTTGCAAGCTGCACACGGAGCTGCCTCATACTCACTAATTGGGAGTTACCAGTTACTGCATCAAAGGCATTTGGCCCTAGAGATGTATTTCAGGTCAAACATTTCTAGCCACAGTACAATGTTCTAGGATGGGACTGTCCAAGCAAGCCTTACAAGCCTGTCCGCTGACTAAGACCAGAGGAAAAGTACATATTCTGCAAATGCTTGCTCTTTCTTAGGGCTGGGCAGACACTTGCTCCAAGGACACAAGAACACCCATGCACCATTTCCCAGCAGCACCAGAATTCCTGGCTCAGTCCTGCAACCTATGCATCTGGTGTGCAAAGCAGCATCTGAGCTGAGGACCATCTTCAAGCCACAACAGAGTCTGCCTATATTCAGCATTTCCCCATCAGTGGCCCTAGGCAAAGAGCCTGTTCTTAATAAGACCCAGAGGTCAGAGGGCTGTAAAGTATCATTTGACCTTAGCTAGTGCTTTCTCTTCTGCCTACTACATTCTCCAGGACAAGGAATCACTATTCCTCTTGCCCAGCAGGAAACTGAGGCAGAGTGCTGCCAAAGATCATGCCGTAAGAAAGACACAGAGCCAGGCAGTCCAAAAGGCTCCGTCCTGCCTCCCTCCTCCGTTTCACTCTGCCTTGCTGCTCAATGCTTGCTCTCTTTTTAAGGCAGAGCAGGGGAGCTCGTGGCCCTTAGGAAGAGAAGTAGCCCAATGGTGGAGTATCTGGCTTGTACATGGAAGCCCCGGCAGCATCTCCAGGTAGGGCTGGGGGACATTACCTGAAGCGCCGGATTTAGGGCGGTTCCCCCACACAGGGTGCTAAGTTGAGGGGGCTAATAATAATAATAATAATAATAATAATAATAATAGGTATCTTCTGAGAAGATCTATTAAAAAGCAGCTGTATCAAAATGAATTATTGTGAAAATAAGGACTACTTGGAGGGGGAGGTGCCAAATTTTGTTCTTGCTCAGGGCGCCATATTACCCTGGTTCACCCCATTACCTTGCAGAGGAGCTGCCAGTCTGTGTAGACAATACTGAGCTAGCTGCCCCAATGATTCTGACTCAGTACAAGGCAGCTTCCTATATTCCGGATGTCGCCCGACGCCATCGACCCTAGCCAGTTCAGCCAAGGGGGCCCGCGAAAGTCACCGCGGTTTCAAGGGTTGCTGTCGATCGCCCCATGCAAGAAAGGAAGGCTCAACCTTCCCCAGAGTTTAGAGCTCCGCCTTACCTTTTTAAAAGCCTTACCTGCAAGGCCCTAGCCGGATACCTGAAGTCCCCCAGCGCAATTCCCTGCCCACCGTTTCTCATAACTACCTGGTGCACACACGCGCCCACCCGATGGACGGCGGCGCGGCGACACGCTCTCCTGTGATTAAAGGGGGGAAATGAATGAATGAGTGCCGCCGGTCCGAGATTCCTGGTGCCCTTCCTCCCTACCTGGGGTCCGTGGGGTTTGGGACTAAGGGGAGGCCTACACCCCACCCACGAGTGACGGGCTTCTCAGAGGCGTCTGACAGGGCGCTGAGCGGGCCGGATGAGGCCCCTTTGTCCTGGCTTTTGGCTTAGGCTCTGAAGCCCCCCCCCCCGGCTAAGAGTCGCCCCACACACCGGGGCCCAGTGCCCACTTTCACACCCCGGCGGGGCTCCTCCTACCGGCGTGGGAGATTCCAAGTATCTCTATCCGCCGCCTCAGCGTCCCTCGAGGCCAGGCCTCTTGGGCGAGCGAGCGGCAGCCTCGGCCTGCGGCTCAGTTGCCTTCGGCTTCCTGGGCTCCGTCCCGCCACAGTTTCCCGCCGCCGCAACCTTCCCTCGTGGCGCTTCCGGAGCGGGTTCCTGAGGGCCTGGCGAAGGGGCTCCATCGCGCGCCGGCTCACTCGTTTATCTTGCGAGGAGGAAGCCCCATCGAAGAAAAGGGCCGTGCTTCGTTCCGAGCACGGCGGCGCCGTCTATCGTCTCTCTTCCGAGGGCGGGAGAATTGGGCCTGGCAGGCTCCCTCTCAGCCCCGGGCAGGGCCTGCTTTGCACACACCATGTTCGTTTTTATGTATCTAATACTTTTTAATGGTCCCACGTGCCCCCTGCAAGCATTTCAGAGTAACCAGGACAAATATCCACACACAGGAAGCGGCTGTTGAGGCTCAGCTGTACAGCCGCGCACCTGTTGGCTATTGAGTTCTGCTTGCCTGGACTGAAAGGCTAGAACACCTTGCAAAGCCAGAGTGGTCCAAAATGAAGCCACGACAACACTCCCAGGACAATCGCCTGTTTTGCTGTTGTGTTGCGCATAACCCTGTGCATTCTCCTCAGGGTTGCACTTCTGTTCTTGGGGTATCAGAATTCCCCAGTGTTAAGTAAGTTGTTGTATTCTTTGCCATGTGGGAAGTGATGGTAAAAGGAATATGGAAAAGTCTTTTTAACTTGCAAAGTAATGAACAGCACAACTTTCCCCTGATGGCTGCCCAGACACCTTATTAACAAATGGGCTTTAATAATAATAATAATAATAATTTTATTATTTATACCCTGCCCATCTAGTTGGGTTGCCCCTATAGGTTGCTCCCTCAAAAAACCTGTAGATTCTTACCCTCTGTTGATCTCTGTGTTCAGTATCTGTGATTTCTCTTCTCCAACTCCTCTGTTGAAGGGGGAACTACCCCAATATTATTGATGTGCATAAATCACAAACTTTTACA